TGTAAATATGTGAACATGAACATGCTCCTGACCACTAAATGTTTCTCTTATTTTTAAATCTTCCTCATTCATTTTCCATGGATATTCATTTTTGACCAATATAAGCTCAGATGAATGAGACCTACAATCAGTCAGTTTAAAAAATAAATGTTGAAAGAAATTGAAAGAATATCTTTAAAAAATTGAAGCTTTTATATATAAGCTTTTTTTTTTTTTTTTTTACCGGGAACATCACAAGTGTGGCTTTGTGCGATTTTGAACAAGATAAAAACATTTCAAAACAAACTTCCTTAAACATTAAAGCACACTATGATCAATAGAGAATATTTTTAAACATGAAGATGCCACACCCTCGGGAGGTGAGTGAGTATGGCAAGCCGTTTTAACTTTTATTCATTTCCAGGATATGAATTGTTGATATCAACAATTACATTTTTGATATCAACAATTACATTTTTTGATATCAACAATTGAATTCTTGATATCAACAATTCAATTCTTGATATCAACAATTGAATTATTGATATCAAAAATGTAATTCTTGATATCAACAATTGTATTTTCACTAGTGAAATGTCACCATAGACTGCCATTCAAAATCAATTGTTGATATCAAGAATTGATTTCTTACTAGTAGAAATATAATTTTTGATATCAATAATTACATTGTTACTAGTAAAAATGCGAATTCCTGATATCAATAATTAAATTATCACTAGTCTAAATGTCTATTCTTGATATCAACAACTAAATTGCTACTAGTAAAATGTTTCATTTTTGATATCTGAAAATGTATTTCTGATATCAATATTATTTCAGATATCTAAAATGGCTTTCTTACTAGTAACAATCACATTCATGATATCAGAAATTAACAGTCAGTAGTGAAAATTGAATTATTGATATCAAAAATGAACATTGTTACTAGTAGCAATTCAATTGTTGATATCAAGAATAGACATTTCAACTAGTGACAATTTAATTCTTGATATCAAAAATAAAGGTTTTTACTAGTAAGAATTGTATTTCTGATATGTGAAATTGGAATTTCAACTAGTAAGAAATAAATTCTTGATATCAAGAATTGATTTTGGATGGCAGCCTATGGTGACATTTCACTAGTGAAAATACAATTACAGATATCAAGAATTATAGTTTTTACTAGTTGCAATTCAATTGTTGACATCAAGAATTATCATTTTAACTAGTGAAAATGTAAATGTTGATGTCAAGAATTAGCATTGTTACTAGTGAAAATGTAATTCCTGATATCAAAAATTGCCATTGTTACTAGTAGAAATATTATTCCTGATATCAATAATTATAATTTTAACTAGTGAAAATTGAATTGTTGATATCAAGAATTCATATTCTGGAAATGAATAAAAGATAAAACGGCTTGCCATATCCATGTCTACCAAAGAATACGACGCCTATCACTGTATACATAAGCTCCTTCAGTATTATCAGCAGCTGTCGCGTTTCTCAGGAGCTAATTAGCAGCAGCTCCTCCTCTCGCCCAGTCAGGATTTGGCATTCCCCTTGAATCAGAATAAATTCTCGAATTATGTTGTACTTTAAAATCTTGAATTATTAATATCTGCATACATTCATGTTGGTTCTGTTCTGTTTACCCTAAGGGGGGTTATTGCTGCTCTCCCTGCTCTTATCCATGCTATAGGCTGTATGGATGCGTTGGGAGTTCTCGCCCAGAACGGAACCATACCGCCAATCCAAACTGTATGCTAATTGTCAATCGTATTTGACGATAGTGGTCCTGACAGAAATAGTAATAGCCTGTAACGAATGTCCAAAAATACAAAACTTCTGGAAGGAGGTTATAAAATGTTGTCAGACATGTTTAACATTAAAATTCCTTTGAACGTAAAACTTTGTATTCTTGGAATATATCCAATGGACTTTATACAAACATTAAGACAGATTAAACTTGTAAAAATTGGTCTCCTTCAAACCAGAAGAGCTATTGCATTGTGCTGGAAGAGTATGGATGCTCCATCCATGAAAATGTGGATAAAGGAGATATCAAACTGTATCAGACTGGAAAGGCTAACTTATATTGCTAAGTGCAAGAGGAAAGAGCTATGGGAGCCATACATAAATAAATATCATGTAAAATGGAAATGTATACCTTAAAGACTTTGTAAAAACGGTCTGTAACAAATTAATTTATTTTTATTTACTTATTTATTATTTTATTTTTTAAATTTTTATTATTTACTTCATGCATTTCTTCTTTTTAAGAAGTGTACATTGAATATGTATAATGTGACAGGTAATGTTAACTTGTTCTGTGGTTATAAAACAAGAAGTTAGCTAAATTTAATGTAAATTAACAAAGAAAATTATAATTGCAGTTCACCCAATCATTCCTTCAAAAGAGTTTGAATTAAAACATACGCAAAACAACGTAAAATTACATAGAAAAAGTGGATGATTGTACATATCTTAAGCGGGTAGAAGGTAGGATTAGGATAGACTGTATAAAAAAGGCATTTGTCTGTTTCAAAGTGAATTCAGAGTGAAACTGTACATTCATTTGAGTTGTAAACCAGTCTTATATTTGGTAGCATGTTAACCAGAGGCCTGGTGTTAGCTGCATTTGGGGTGTTTAGTTGCTCTTTGGAGGCAAAGCCTTAGAACTGTACCTCATGGTTTGTTTTGTTAGGTGAGGGGTATTGTAGATTGTTTGTTAAATATAACAAATAATTGTGAGTCTGATATGTCCTACCACTACAAAGACAAACACTGTAACATTAGACAATTAATTTGTGTATTATTATTATTAATCTCCCAACAAATCCTAGTTACTTGTCTTCCTCTTAATTTCTCTCTCATCCTTATTCTTCTGAGAAATGTCTTTTTTCACCTAGAGACTCAAGATAGTGCCAATTATCTGTTCTAACTTGCTTTGCATGACAAGTAACAAAGCATAGTGATTGATTCCACATATATACAGTAGCACCACTATGTAAGACTGTTTGCCCAGATGAGCAATCAGTTAAGCAGTGTTGCCCTGGACAATAGTCAGTTTGTCATTTTTCAAAGATGTCCTGTCTCCCAAGCCTCCTCTCATAAGATGTCCTGATGTCCTGTCTCCCAAGCCAAAAAAAGAAAAAAAAAAGAAATAAAAACAAAACAGGAATTAAGTTTATCTGGCATCTGCCCTATTTATCAACTACCTGTCCACATAGCTTGAGATAATTGCTTCCCTTTAAAAAGTTACTGTATTGACTGTATAATCTCTTCCTCACGTAAATGAGAAAGCATAAGTTTGCTAACATAGTGAACAATCAAAATTAGTAGGTATAAATGTGTTTGTGTGTGTGTGTGTGGCAGTATTAAGGCCAACTGTCACTATTCCCCAACTCTGTGGCTTCTTTTCTTTTATATAATTTATTATGTCTTATAAATTGAAACCATCAACTTTGTACACAGCAAGCAAAGCTAATTATCAGCATATTTCTGTTTTTTTTTTAACCAGACACTGTTCGCTGTAGTCCCAGAAAAACACTTCTATAATCAAAAACACGTCGTCACGCAAAAGTTAGACATATCTAAAAGACAATGAAAGCTACTTTGGCTGCGTTTAACTCTTTTAGACATACACTCACAGACTTCCCTCAGCACTTCCCCTCAGGGGAATCACTGCTGCCTTTTTGAAGTGCTTTCAACTTCGTCAAGTGGGCGAGGGAAGTTTATTTGGACATATCTTTGACCCCTCGATTTTGACCGAGGAAACAAGTCTACTCAGTGGGTGCTTCTCATTTCTTATTTTGTGCATCCTTGCTTCCTGTCCTTGCATTTCAGCTCCACCCCCTGTAGAATGCAAGGGAAGGCTGCATGAAAAGAAAATGAGGATGGAGGATTCGAAGGAAAGCTTATTTGTATTATTCTTGACTACTTGAGCATCATTTTAAAGCATCATCAGCTGTGTTCAAAGGATCTGCCCTTGTGTTGTTAAAGTTTGGTTATTTAAGAATTTCATAAATAATGATAAAGCAAGATGTCCTGTTGAAATATCTGTGATATATGGTTTATTTAAACTGAAAAGGTAAAGAATTTATAGTGACAGATGTGAGGGGGAGGAGAATTTACACGTGCATCAGGTTTCTCTACAATACAAGAAAGACTTCCGCATAGGATACATCTGTGCATCGGGCGCCACACGCTGCTCCGGGTGTGTCCAGGGTTTGCAGTATGTGTGTGTGTGTGTGTGTGTGTGTGTGTTCACTACTCCTAATGTGGCTTACCATATGGCTTACTCCTATGGCTTACCATACTTGGCTTTCACATGTCACATACTTGCAAACTGAGAGACAGCTCAATGCCAATGGGTGGAGGTTGATGTCCAGCCACACCCTATCAACCTAAACCTAATTCGGTCAAGCTCCACCCATAATGTCCAGAGAGGGGGAGCGGGACTTCATTTGGCTCTGCAGTGAGCATCACTTGGAAGAATCCCCACCACTGATGCACAAGTCTGTCCGGAACATACACACACACACAAATAGAGAGATACAATCAAAATGGCCAATCACATTTGAGGATAATTAAACATTAGAATTAACCATGAATTATACAAACACACACAAATAGAGAGATAAAATCAAAATGGTCAATCAAAAAATGTGAGGATATTAAACATTATTAGAATTAACTAATAATGTTAATTAATTCTAAATTATTAGAATTAACCATTAATTATACAATCTAACAACACCTCTATGTTTGACATTTGACTCATTTTTGAGTTAAAGGCTTCTAAATACAGACTTCTTTTTTTTAGTCTGTTGTAATGTTAAATTTGGCATTTTTGTTCTCTGTAAATTTTCTATACAACATAGACAAATCAAAACATGACACAGTGTGTTTCCACATAATCCTAAAAAAATAATAATACTACATGTTATCCCTTATGCGAAGTCTCACGACAACCCTCCCCCATTGCACAGTTGGTATTCACTATAAAAAAAAATCTAAACAAAATCAGTCAGCGGATGAAATCTGTCCAGCAGAAGAAAGGGTCTAAAAGGAAGACACTCCCTTCCACAAATGCCACGGGCTCAAGCTTCCACACAATGCTCCTTTTCAACATTAGCATTCCAGAAAGTGACTCTACGGCAATAACGTTTTATGAGGAAACTGTATTTTCGGAAGAACACAGAAAACGGCTTTTTCTGAAGTAGGTCAATATGGTGGTGTAACACAGCTGGAACAGACTGTTACATGAAAGCTACTCGGTGGATAAAATTGAACTTGGTGAGGTTTTTTTTATTTTATAGTAGATTTCAATGCCATTTCAGCATAAATAATACAAAACAAAATGCAATCCATACTTTAAATATAATTTCAGAATAATATTCTTTCAGTATTTTTCTTTTCATTTTGCATGCATATTGCTTCAATAATGTTTATTTCCATTCTGGAAGAAATGAAATATTACATGTGAACCCTCTGTATTTCCCTGTAGACATCATCATGGAGACAAATCACTGTGGTTTCCACATCTTTCTCTGCATTTCTCTGATCTTGACACACTGGGACACAAGTTCAGCTTGCCATACAGGCTCTCAGGTAGAATGTGAGAAAGCCCCATTTGTGCCTGGTTACAACCTGGCGGGCGAAGGCTTTGATGTTGTCAGGATGCGCCGTAAAGGGGCATTTTTGATCAATGTCAAGTCACACATGGACAACGGCACTTGTACGGTCTGCAAGAACCGCTTTCAGGGTGGGCAGATGCAGAAACTTCCCTCAGCCATGCTAGACTGGCGTCCCTTCAGCCGCTGCAGCAAACAGCTTTCTACCGCTCTTCATCATTCTGTTGACTCCCTTATGAAGAGTTCAACATCACTCATCAACAACAACTGGGAAATGGACCTTAGCCTTGATGACATCGGAAAGGTGATTTTGGGAGGGAGCCGCTCAGACATAGCTAAATTTGCCCATTCTCAGAATGCAATGGATAAGGCAACATTTGCCCTCCATGAGATCAGTTGCACATATTACAGGTAAGTTCATAAGAGTTTGATTCATTTAGCATTGTATTTCTGTATTTATAGCATTGTATTTCTCCTGACTTTTTAGTTTAACTTGTCACAGAATGGTAACAATTGGAACCTTTCGTAATGTGTTTCCACTGTTGAGCCAAAGGCTAGTCTCATTTCCTTTTTTTTTTAAACATTTATTTGTTGATTTTTTCAGTGACATAACAAAATCAAGAGGTAACAATTCGGGAATCAAAACAGTGTCAAGAACAACTAACAAAAAAAAAAAAAAAAAAAAAAAAAAAAAAAAAAAAAAGGTCACCCACTGCTAAATAAAAGCCCAATATGTTCGCTTACAGAGAGATAAATAAAAACATCCCAGCATGCTACAAATTCACACAAGAAAAAAACTCACAATTAGAAGACAATCAGGGTGGCTACTCTGGAATAGCCGTAAAAATCAATCCCTCAACATGTGCAAAAAATGACCCCAAGTTTCATTAAACTTTGAATGAGAACCATGTATCGAGCACCTAAATTTCTCCAACTTCACGAACTGAAGGATGTCCTTGATCCAAGACGAGTGAGAAGGCGGCGAGGGAGACTTCCACCTCAATAAAATCAAACGTCTAGCCAATAAGGAGATAAAGGCTACAAAGTCAGCTTTATATTTAGGAAGCTGCAAGTAGGAGGTAAAACCCCAAACAAAGCGGTACATGCTGCTGGATCAAATTGAACCCCTGTACAAACAGAAATAGAGTTAAATATCTGTGTCCAACAATTATGTAGTGAAGGGCAAGACCAGAACATATGGGCATGGGTAGCTGGAGCCTGACGACATCTAATGCACATGGGATCGACATCATTATAGATTTTGGAAAGCCTAACTCGAGTGAGATGGGTACGATGTAGAATTTTGCACTGGGTCAGACCATGTCTAGCACAAATTGATGAGGAGTGAACCCGACGCAAAATGGCATCCCACAGCTCCTCCGAGATCCCCTCCCCTAGATCCTCCTCCCATTGGGTTTTAATTTTATGCTGCGGAGTAAGCTGCAAAGAATAGATAAGATTGTATAAACATGAAATAGCACCCTTAATGGTAGGCAATGGGGTTAAAAATTAGCCAATTAGAGAGGCCTCTGGGAGATTTGGGAAGTTGGGGCTAAGATTGTGAATGAAACTTCGAACTTGAAGATATCTAAAAAAAATGCTGCCTAGGCAAATGGAATTTCTCTGAGAGTTGCTGGAAGGATGCAAATGTACCAGCAATATACAAGTCCCTAAATGCCTTGATGCCATAGTCAGACCACAAAGAAAAAGCCCCATCGATTAAGGAAGGGTGACAAACAGGGTTAGCTGATAAAGGTGCTAGGAAAGAGAAGGTCTGTAGACCAAAATAGCGTCGAAATTGCTTCCAAATTTTAAAAGTGGATTTAACTAAGATATTATTGCAAAAAAGGGAGGGAGAAAAGCTAAGGGGAGTGTGGATGAGAGCAGTCAACGAAGCAGGTTTAACAGAAAACATCTCCATAGTCAACCATGTAGGAGAAACTGGTGCCCCCTCCAGAGAAATCCAAAGCTGAATTACTTTAAGGATGGAAGCCCAGTAATAAAACCTCAAGTTAGGAAGGGCAAAGCCCCCAATGGTCTTAGGTCTCTGCAACAGCTCCTTTCGCAAACGAGGGACCTTCCTGTTCCAGATAAACTCAGTGATTGATTTGTCTGATTTGTCTAATTTGTGAAAAAAAGACTGAGGGAGAAAGATAGGTATGCACTGGAAGAGATTAGACAATTTGGGAAGGATATTCATCTTAACCGAATTGACCCTGGCCACAAGGGAAAGAGGCAACAGTGACCACCGTTGAAAGTCCATCCGTATCTGATCTAACAAAGGGGCAAAATTATAATCAAACAGATCTTCAAATCGGTAACAAATCCGGATACCAAGGTATTTAAAGCCAAATGGAAGAATTTTGAATGGGAAACCCTGAGCAGCATTCTGGGCACCTTGATTTAAAGGAAACAGCTCACTCTTGTCCAAATTTAGTTTATAGCCTGAAATCTGACCAAATGAACTAAGGATGTCAAGAGCAGCTGGAACTGGGATAGAGAGATTGGACACATATAGTAATAAGTCATCGGCATAGAGGGAGACCTCCTGTTCAAGACCATATCTTGTAATTCCAGTGATGCGTGGCTCTGAACGAAGCACTATAGCCAGAGGTTCAATAGCAACAGCAAATACAAGAGGACTCAGAGGACAACCTTGACGAGTGGAGAGGTGCAAAGGGAAATACTCTGAATGTGTGTCATTAGTTCTGACTGAAGCCACAGGGGATGAATAGAGCAACTTAATCCAAGAAATTAACTCCTGGCCAAAAACAAATTTCTCCAAAGCGTAGAAAAGGTAGTTCCACTCCACTCTGTCAAAAGCCTTCTCCGCGTCTAATGAGATTACGGCTTCCGGCCCCATTGATGTAGAAGGATTATAAACAACATTGAGAAGTCGTCTGAGATTAAAGAACCCATGTCTGTTCTGGACAAAACTTTATTATTAAAGGCAAAACTGATTCCAGTTGCATAGCTAATAATTTGGATGGAAGTTTTACATCTACAGATAAAAGACTAATTGGACGATAACTTGAGCAGGACAGAGGGTCCTTATTCTTTTTTAAGAGTAATGATATGGAGGCCTGATTTAGAGTCTGAGGTAATTTAGAAAGAGTAAGAGATTCATTGAACATTTCTATCAAAACTGGTGCTAATTTGTCAAAAAAGGTCTTGTAAAACTCCGTCGGAAAACCATCCGGGCCTGGACATTTTCCAGACTGCATAGAAAATGTTGCCCGTTTAAGGTCATCTATGATGATTGGGCCCTCTAACTGCTCAGCAATATCAGCATCTACCTTAACCAACTCCAGTGAGTCAAAAAAACTATCCAGGGCAGACAGATCAGACCCAACCTCAGAAGTATATAAAGAAGAGTAAAACCGTTTAAACTGATCATTAATTTTTTTAGGATCGGTAGTGACGCCAGAAGGAGTATTAATTTGTGAAATCTGCTGAGAGGAGGAAGCCTGTCGAAGCTGATGGGCTAAAAGTTTGGTCGCCTTATCCTCAGATTCATAATAACAATATTTAGCCTCAAATTAGAGCTCCTCAACCTCTTTAGTAGAAAGAACATCAAACTCAGCCTGAAGAGAGAGACGATCCTTATATATGTTAGGGGATGGGGAGGAAGCATAGATATTATCAAGCTGGGAGATTCGTAACCTCAATTCCTTTAATTTTTTTTACTTTGTTTGTTCTCATAGCTGCTGTATAAAATAATTTCACCTCTAATGTATGCTTTCAAAGTCTCCCAAAGAAGGGAGGCTGAGATCCCTGGAGTACTGTTGGTAGTAAGAAAAAAGTCAATTTGATTAGAAACAAATTGAACAAAATCCTCATTAGATAGCAGGCGTGTATTGAGACGCCAAGGGGGGCACGTACGTTCGCGCTCCTGTATGAATAACTCCAGTGTGGTCACATGATCTGATATTAGAATAGTATCATAAGAGCAAGACTGAATAGAATGGAGAAAGCGGTTGTCCAGTAGAAAATAATCAATACAAGAAAAGGAGTGATGTACATGACAGAAAAAATAATAAATTTTACCAGACGGATTAAGAAAGCGCCATGGATCAGAGACCGAGAACTCATCCATAAAGGATAAAATGGTCTTAGAAGACTTTGAGGGCACTCCTGGTCTAGTAGAAGAGCGATCTAATACCGGATTAAGCCAACAGTTGAAGTAACCCCCCATAATAAGTAGATGTGTGGACATGTCAGGTAATTTGGGGAACAATTGATGGAAAAAATTGTCATCATCCCAGTTTGGACCATACACATTAGCCAGAATCACATAATTACTATATAGCTGACCCGTTACAAACACAAACCTTCCATTGGGGTCAGCTATTACATTAGAGCACACAAAAGGAACCGATTTGTGAATCAAAATTGCAACACCCCTAGATTTACAATTAAAACTAGAATGAAAAACTTGACTGACCCACCTCCCCTTTAATCTGATATGGCTGGAAGATTTTAAATGAGTTTCTTGAAGGAAAACAATATGGGCTCCTAATTGTTGAAGATGGTGAAGAACTTTGCTACGTTTAATAGGCTGATTTAGACCATTACAATTCCAGCTAACAAATTTAAGTCCTGTCCCTGATTGTTGAGGCATCCTAGACTGCTGCATATGCCAGTCAAGTATTAGTGAACACTGCAGCATGGAATGTATAACAGTCACAGAAATAAATTAAAACATGATCGACCTGATTAAAGAAAACACAAAACACGCAATGAGAGAAAAAAGGAGAACTCACACACCCACCCACCACCCCACGAGCTGAAGCGTCTTCCCTAAATAAGATTGGTGCAAATCCCACAAACTACCAAAAACATCCTAACACGCTCCGTTAAAGGGGTCATATAATGTCATTTTTGTACAAGCTAGTATGATTCTTTAAGGTCTAAATTAAAAGTTTGTAATATACTTTAATGAGGGTCATTGCAGAGGTTATCAGCACTGGGATCGCGTGCAGTAGATACCAGCAGCCAGCAAGGCAGAACATCGGCTTTGTTAAAGCTGGGGAGAAGCCACACCAGCGCCTGAAGCAATCAGGGGGGCTGCTGGCAACAGCACAGGACTGGCAGCTGAAGGTCGACCTTGGGAAACAGCTCAAATTCCCAGAAAACATCGCAGTGACCACACTCAGGCCAGACATTGTCCTGGTGTCAGAAATAACAAGGCAAGTGGTCCTGCTGGAGTTGACTGTTCCCTGGGAGGACCGGATGGAGGAGGCTTTTGAGAGGAAGAGGGCCAAGTATGAGGAGCTGGCAGGCGAATGCCGAAGCAGGGGGTGGAGGACCCGATGTAATCCCATCGAGGTCGGGTGCAGAGGATTCGTCGGCCAGTCACTGATTAGGGCCCTCAAGATGCTTGGAGTGGAGGGACTGCACATCAGAAAAGT